CACCTGCGGGTGCTGCAGTCTGGCCCTCTCAGCCTATTCTGTACCCATGAGTGCTGTCTGATTCCATGGTCATACTAACTCAGCCCATCCCCATCCCAACTCTCAATCTCTCTTTTTAAATATTTATTTATTTATTTATACTGCAAAGTCAGATATACAGAGAGGAAGCTCTTCCATCAGATGATTCAATCTCCACACAGCCACAACGGTTGGAACTATGCCAATCTGAAAGCCAGAGTCCCAAGGTTTTGGGCCGTCCTCGACTGCTTTCCCAAGACACAAGAGAGCTGAATAAGGAAGCAGGGCTGCCAGGATTAGAACCAGCACTCAAATGGGATCCCAGCACGTGCAAGGAGAGGACTTTAGGTGCTAGGCTACCGCGCTGGGCCCCCTACCCCAACTCTTGAGCTAATCAGTGGAACTTATATTTCCACAGCGTTTGGCCCACATATCCCACAATCCACCCCCGGACCTGGTTCTCCCACGTACTGATTAGTGTCATGGCCCTGCCTAATGTGACATTCAGTCAGGTATTAGGATCTAGCCCTGCCAGACAGGCCCCCAGCCCTAGCTTTTATGTGGACTGGCATGTGGTGGTCAGCAATGTTCCATGCCAATAAGCCCTACTCAGAACTCCCATGTGGGCTGGTAAATCAGTCTGACCCATTACAGATCTTCCAGTCTCTCTGGTCCAAACCACCAGGTCTCAGTCTCCTCGCTTACCTGCAAGTACAGTGGACCTATCACTGGGAATCCCTCAGGATTCATTCCTCATCTGCATGTACAGTGGCCTTATCCATGGATATCCCTAGGCAGTAATTCCACACTCCCAAGACCCCAAAACTCGCTGCTGCAAGCTCAGGATTTGCCCACACCCCTCAGCGGTGGCTGGGGCTAAGGCCCCAAGCATTGAGCCCGACCTGGCTCAGGTCTCCCCAGCAGCCGCCACACTGATGGGGGGGTCTGTCCACCCAAGCTCCAAGGTCAAACTCCTACAGCTTTTATCTTTTGTTGTGCTCTTGTCTTGCTTTTGGAATCTCCTGGTCCTAGATGCGTTTGGAAGGTTTTCTCGCTTTCAACTGTTTGGACAAGTTTGAGCAGACTTAGTGTTAGCTCTTGTTCCTTAAAAGTTGGGTGGAATTCATCAGGGAAGTCATCTGGTCCTGGGCTTCTCTTTGTTGGGAGACTCGACTGTTGGTTCACGTTCCTGATCAGCTCATTCAGATTTTCTGTCTTCACGGTTCAGTTTTGGCATGTCACATGTGTCCAGAAATGTATCCATTACTTCCAGTCCCTGGTTTCTAGGCAGTGTCTTGGCACCTACCTAACTTTTCTCAACCTCAGAGGACTACTTCTCAGTTCATATTATGTTGTCTAGGATGGGGGAGGAATGGAACGAACAGTCCTACAACCACCTACGCAATGCCAGATCATACTTGGGAGACCACAGCATGGAGTAGGGCCAAGGCCCAGTTCGCTATGTTCTGCCTGCTGCTGAGAGCAACTTGTGGTCTCTGACTTCTGTAACCTACTATAAGTGACACTGGCCAGGATTGAAATTCAATACACTGGGGACAGTGGCCTCTGTTTGGGACTGGGACAGGAACCATTTAGCGACGGTTCTAGGTGTTTCAGGACACAGCCCTGTGCTCACTTCAGGGCGCCACTCCCCAGTGGCTGGAGTCGTGCTTGTTGTCGTGTGACCATGGTTGGAGGCGGGATGGTGAAGGCAGACCTGTGGGTGCTTAAGCCGACACTCAGCTGGGTCGCGCCTGAGTCTCACAACCCCAGAACCCTGTGCAGTCTTGCAAATGCAGGCCCATCTGTGCCCCCAGGGTGCAGGTCTCCATCTGATGCTCATGCAGGTCTAGATCTTTGAGCACTGGACGGAAGGTGGCGTCTGCTTGGTGTTGCGTCTTGCTACAGCGGCTGGTGCTGGCATTCAGGCCCTTAGCTCACCTTCTCACTCTCCCAGGGGTTGAGGTCTTACTCCTTCTTGTCTGCCCCAGGTTAGGAGAAGAGATGTTGCAGTTGGGTGCCTGATCACGTAGGCTGGCACTAAGATGGACTCCACCAAAGTGCCACTGTCATCAGGCCCCGTACAGACTCAGGGTGTTTGCTAGGCCTGCAGGATGCCAACAGTGAGTCCAGCTGACACGGGTTTTAGGTCAGTGAACTGGCAGATGGAAGATACTCTCTGCCTTTCAAATAGATAAAATGAATAAAACAAAAAATGTAAAAGTAAAGTTCATGCTCCCAAAAGCCAGGGCTAATGCAGGCCAAAATTAGGAGCCCACGAAGCCATCGAGGCAGGAATCCAAGCATTTGGGCCATCTGCAGTCTCCCAGGTGCGTGAACAGGAAGCCAAGTTGGAAGTCGAGCAGCTGGGACTTGAACTGGAGCTCTGATGTGGAGTGCCAGCACCACAGCTCAGCCCTCTGCGCTGCAGTGCTGCCCTTTGTACTGACAGGGCTGGATTCAACTCACCATTTGGATAGTTATCTTTATTTAGGCTTGTTTTTAAAAGACGTTAAAGGCAGTACTTGTGATTTCCAGCAAAATGAAATGACAGTAAGAACAAAGCAAGAGCCACCTTCTGGCTGCTGGGTCAGCAGTTCACTAAATGACTATAGGAAGAAAATCGGGAACACTTTACCATCGACTTAAGCCACAGGTTAGTGAGCCCATTTCCCAGGCTGCTCAGCAGACTTAAGACTCCTATTTGTTGGAAGATGTGGGTCCCATGGCCTGCCCAGACAAGGGCGGGAGTGTGTGGAGTCCCAGTGGTTGTACGCTGGTCACTGCCAGGTGGGTGCAGCCCCTTCAGAAGCACCTGACCACCTGACATCTCAACAAAGGGGAGGTGACAAGGAATTGGCTCTTTGTGGGACAGACGCCAGCTGCCCCCTACTGTCGAGGAGCACAGGGACAGAGAGAGAGGTGCTTAGAATATTCTGGGGCACTGAGGCCAGGTGCCATGGAAGCCAAGGGAGAGAAATGAGTATGATTTGTGGCACCACACTCTGCTGCTCTCAGGGGATCTTAATTTACATTTAAAAAAATTATTCCATCCTCTTTGCATGACTGACTGAAGATTCATTTTACATTTCGTCCCTACTTTTCAGAGTTTGTAAGAGCATCAAATAAGACACTGACCCCAAGGCAATGAGGTATAAAAATGTAAAATACTACCTGTAGCTGTTTCTGGAAAAAATTTCCCTTTAAAAATCAAGAAATTAAATGAATTTATCTCACTGCAATCTGTTGGATCTGATTGGCAAAATGGATACTGAACAACCAAAGCTCTAAAAAAATTGTGCAGCTTTGTGGTGCCGCCCAGCTTTGTGGCGTAGTGGATGAAGCTGCTCCCTGTGTTCCACATGGGTGCTAGTTCACGTCCTGGCTGCTCCACTTCTGATCCAACTCCCTGCTCATGACTTGGGAAGAACTGTGGACGAAGGTCCAGGCGTGTGGCCTCCTGCAACCAAGTGGGTGACCAGAGGAAGCTCCTGGCCTCTGACTTTGGCCTTGGCTCAGCTGCTGTGGCCATATTGGGAGCAAAAATCTTTCTTTGTATATTGCTTCTTTTCTGTAACTCTGGCTTTCACATAAATGAATCTAAATAAATAATGCAGAAAAATACTGTATTAACTCAAAGTCCTACTTCCAGTTTCATAAACCCATACTCATTGAAGAGAAAAAAAAATAAGCAGCCCAGATGCCTACTGGAGAACTACAGAGCAACAATCAATCAAACTCAAGAACTATTAAACCACTCCGAGACTTCTTACAAAACAATTGCCTTTACCCCCAGGATGTTATACTTAACAAGAATGACACTTGTGTTGGTACTACAGCTAACGGGCATGGATGCAAACCTCCTCCTTATGCTTACATAGCTGATCAGGGTCTCTTCCTTAAACTCTTTGAGGATGTTTCCCCTGAGGCTATTCCATGCTCCCAGCACTCTGGCTGTCCAGCAGACACAGGCAGGCGAGGGATTGCAAAGAGGGTTCCCTTAAAGGAAGCTAGCTGGAGTGGCTAGACTACTACAGCAACAATGCTAAGTAAGGTACAGGAACTAGCTCCTACTCCCACAGCAGTGAAGAGGGAAGTGTTGTCAGCTGTGGAGTAGGGGTGCTTAGCTGAGAGGACAGAGCTTGGTGGGGCTGTGGGTGGAGTGCCCGGCAGCCAGGACGAGGATGAGCCCTGTCCCTGACTCCTATGGGGCTCCCTGTCCCTGACTCCTATTGGGCTCCTATGGGAGGCTAGAAGCTGACGGCACATGGTCCCCTGTCACCGCATGCAGGCTGATGGCAGGGAAGAAAACGCAAGCCTGGCCCTCCTCCCTTCCTCCAAGACGACAGCCCCAGCATCCCAGAACACAACACAGGACAGCCTTGCCGGTGAGAAAACAGATCCTGGCACGGCTGGTCATCGACTGAGGAAGACAAAGATATGCGCAAGCACTCTGATGCGGGTAGCTCAGTGGCTGGAAAGGACTCCCATCACCACTGCCTGCATCCAGAACATCGCACTCGCCCAGCCGAAACCATGCCCTGTAACAACTCTCCATGTCTCCCTGAATCTGACCACACACCTCATCTGAGAGCAGGGAGTGTTCTCTCCTGGCCCCCACGCTGCAGCACAAGTAGGAGCTCTGTCTCCTGCAGGTGGAGCACCACTGCTGCCTGCGCCTTCCAGCTGTGGTCTACCCGTGAGTGACGGCAGCCTGTTTCCCCGTTGGGCCTCTCGTGAGTAGCGATGAGTGTGAGTGTGCAGTGCCCCGCTGGCTGTGCTCAGCCCACCCCAGGGAGTCAGGCTGCTGGAGCGTGTGGCCATTCTGGATACCCCTGTCAGAAACTACCAAGTGGGTTTTCCGTAGCAGAGAACAGTCTCTCCTTCCTAAAATGCTCAACATATTAACAAGTGTAGTTTAGGAAGAATACACTGTGATGGTCACAATCTTTAGCTGCATAAACAATCTGGGTAACCCAATGGTCATTCATAAATACAAAATTTTATTTGCACTTCATTAGTGTAGAAAGACCACAATGCTTCTCATACCACAACACTCAAGACACGCCAAGTTATTCAAATACAGAATTACTTATTTACCTTGACTAAACAAAACAGTGCAGTTTAATAAAAGATATACCAAAGATAAAAGTTCACAAATTCATTATCAGACCAAAAAAAAAAACCGAAAAATCCCGAACAGAGTCTGGGCTTAACAGGGACGAGCCTCACCGTAAGGGGCAGAATCCATCATCACAAAGAAACAGGATGCTTAGGCAAACACACGTGTTCTCTGTTCGAGTAAAATGCATCTCTTTAAAACTCCTTGAAACAGGATTTGTTCAGGACAGCAGCTTTGTTTTAAATTTCTTTTTTTCCTGTAATTTCAAAAGCACTTCTTCCTTGTTTGAGTCGTCGTAGTTCTTAGAAGCACAGGGGACGTCCATCAGGAAACCGTGGGTGGCCGGTGGCTTTCGAGTCAAGGCAGAGGCCGCCCTGCCACGTGCAGCCCTCCGCTGCCGTGCCCGTCACTAGGCAACAACCTGCCATGGTGGCTACGGCTGGAGCCTGGCTTGGCGCAGGAACACTCCAACACTTGAAAGATGCTACAGCTGGGGGAAATGTTGCGTAAATAAAGAAAAAGCTCTTGAGATAGCTTTTTCTTCCCCAACGAGTCTTTAGTTTCTACAAGTTTTCTTGAAAACAGTAAGCAAAGCACCATGTCCTTTCTTCTTACCACAATATCTTCTGTCCTTATAGTATAATTAACAAGGACAAGTATTTAAGAAATATAGCTTTCGTTTCTCCCATTCTTCATATTAGAAGTACTACGCTTCCCAGTGTGTGTACACTAGACACTGGGGTAATGAATGAAATATAATCATTTGGAGGGAAAACGTAATGTGTAACCAAAACTTACCCAGTATTGCATATTTACAAGTTAGTGTATAGCTCTGACTTGGATTACAAAGTGCGAAAGGAAATTGTCAAATGATTGTAGTGCGGGATAGAACACGTTCTCCCTCTCCAGGAGCTGCGCCCACGTGGTTTCCAAAGCAGCGGATCAGCAGCACCGCACGTGCGGTCTGGGGGGAGGCAGTTCGGGCGGGATCTCGGGCTCCGGTTGTAACGAGAGGATGCTATTGGACAGCTCATTCCTCAGGATGTCCAGAGGCATCTAAAGGACACAGGGAAAAGACAAATGCCATTCCAACCTTACAGGACACTGGCACATGCGCTGTAAGGAGCAACATTCCACAAAAAGTAAGGCTCTCTGCTCACCAAAGGTGAGGCAGACGTTAAAGGTTTCAGGTGGCAACAGAGCCAAACCAGGGTTGCGCAGAGCACTGCGTGGGCCAAGGAGCACACCGCTCACCCTTTCACGCGTGGCGGCAGTGTGGCCAGCTCAGCCTCCCACGCAGCGACTGGACTGAATTCAAGGCCCTGATAGTCCAGTTTCAGTGAACACGGGATCTGCTAATAAGCCACATGCTTATGAAAGAGGACCTCTCTTGGCAACTATATATACAACCAATTTGGGGGACACTTCTGAGTCAAGTGTGGGCTGAGCTGACCATACCTGGTAGCAGCTGCAGCTTCGACCTCCTGGGACAGACTGCATCTGCATTCTGCACGTGCAAGCCTGCCCACAGCACACCGTGCCTTCGGCCAGCCCCACAGCACATGTCAGAGGTCGTCCAGAGGTGACGGAAGCACCAAGAGGATGTGCGTGGGCCACCGGCCAGACACCGCACCGTTTCGCAGGAAGGCCGGAGCTGTGCAGACTCTGATATCCTCTAGGAGAGGCGGGAATCAAGCCCTCTCAGAAACCAAGGATGACTGGATGGGCAAACTCAGGTTTTTACTATAAACCTCTGAGTGTAAGCCTCCAGGTACAGGAAGAATCCATTACTGCTCGAGGAAACTGTACAGTGCGGCCTGGGCAAAGGTGAGGGGCAGAGTACCAGGGGACAGCGGGGACCTCTCCTTGGCTCAGCTGCATACTCTGCTGCCTCCCCACCATCTCCATGGAACAATTCTGGCAGGTCAATCAAGAAGCAAAGCAAGCTTCCAATGAACACTATTACCACTTGTTTACTTGTCACCCCACCAGGCTGCACTTCCAGGTTCAGTGGGTCTGTTGAGGATCAACCCTAGAGACACCCAAAGGCCCTGGGTGGGCAGCACCTGGCGCTCCCGAGCCACACTCCCTCAGGCTAACCACTGTATCCGGTCTGTGAGCTAAAGCAGAACTACTGCAGTTTCATTTCTGAATGAAACAGCCTCAGTAAGAACCCACAAAGGAAACAATCGGTTTCCGATCAAAGACTCTTCTTACCTTTTTCAGAATGTCATCCACAAGTTTCAGAAAGATCTCGTCCACATTGAAGTTGTCCTTGGCGCTCGCTTCACAGAACCGCATCCCGGTGATCTGCTGTGCGAACTGAGAGAACACAGCGATGTGTGTTCCCTGCGTGCGGCTCAGCACGGGCCGGCCTGTGCGCAGAGGCCTGGCTGCTGCTCAGAGAGCCGTCGGTGTTAAGGGAAGGGCTGGCACAGTGGACTGGCAGCCGCACTGACCCTCAACCATGAGGCTCACAGGGGCAGCAGCAGATTCTCACTTTATAAGACAATAGCAAGATACAACCCAGCAAAAACCTGAGGGCATGCCAGGACCATGAAGTAAATTACAACTGACATTTACGATGCGATCATCACTGCTTCTCTATAACTGAGTCCTTAGCAAAATCCAAGGAAGGCTAAAACACATCTGAGTTAAGAGAAAATCATAAAATCAGTATGATGGCTTGAAACGCCAGGTTGGATAGCAACTTGCTCCATGCTAATGCAGTTCCAAAAAGAATGTAAAAGAGCAAACCATTTTGAAAAAGCCAACAAATGAGAAAAATGTGGCTGTGATGGAATGAGCAGTTACTGTGCTGGCAGACAGGGCGTAATTCACTCAGGGCACAAAGCCCACCAGGCTGTTACCAAGCGTGGGCACCTCCCACACCCCACGCGTCTCACCTTCTCACCCTGCTGCCTGCTGATCTCCCGGTCTGCTTCACAGTCCAGCTTGTTTCCCACCAGGAGAAGCTCAGCATCTTCCGAAGCATACTGTGAATTTTAGCAGAAGCTGCGTTTCAAAGACGGGCGCTACGTGTACTAACAGAGGAAAGGCAAGCCCGCCTTCTCCTTGTCCTTCTCCTCTGCCGCCCCCAGACCCCACCCGGTAACAGGGCTGGGTGAGACAGTGCCCCTGGGACCACAGAGTAACTGGGCAAGCAGCATGAGGAACCACCCACCAAGTCCCAAGACTCTACCCTCAGAAATTCATTCAAAGCAGTCAAATGGCTATCAACAGAAGCCAATCTCAAAGTCCTAACAAAATGGACCAAGAATCAGGGAAAAGAATCTTGTCATTTCAAAAAACGAAGCAGGCACAGGAACTCTAAAAAGGTTAAAATCTTTGGTCAGCTCATTTAATTTTGTGTATCTCTAAAAGGTTACTTGAAAGATGGTGCGACCTTGGCCGAGTCCCCAAGCCCGGGGAGAGCTGGTTTTGTCATTAGGATCTGTGGGAACAGTGGCAGCACCCAGCTGCCAGGGCAAGTGAAGGACCAGAACAAGGGAGCACCAGACATAAACTCAAGTCCATGGACCTCAGCATTTGGGCTACTTTAGTTTGTGTAAGTTTAAAAAAAAATTCTTAAGACATTCCTACTGATGGTCCCTTTCTCATTTCCTCCAGGGTTTCTGTGGCTTCTATAGGAAGGGCAGTCAGCACCCAGGGAAAGCCACTACTGGCCCCGAGATCCAGTGCCAAGAACAGAGTAGGCTGAGAGCAGGGCTCACACAGTGCCTGGGTGCCCCTTCTGCAGAAACCAGGATGCCCTTCTCCAACTGCACGGGGGCAGCCAGACAGAGCAGAGTAGCAGGCGTGGGCTCTGACGTCAGAATGTCCCAGGTACCCAGGTAATGCCCCGGTCTTACTCCCTGGGTCAACCTTCCCCTGATGGTCGCACTCAGCCTTAAAGGAGGCACAGTCTGGAGTGCACGCCTCCTTCCTCACCTTGTCAATCATCTTCATCCATTTCGGCAGGTCATCAAACGTCTCCTTCTTCGTGATGTCATACACGAGGATGATGCCCTTGGCACTTCTGTAGTAAGCTGAGGTAATGCTGTTGAATCTCTCCTGGCCTGCTGTGTCCCTAGGAAAGAGCAGCAAATATCAGCTCCCAAGGAATCCCAAAGCCAGCCCCTCCACGCCCCGCGAGCTTCAGGGGAGGAAATGCCCAGACACAATGTTAACTGCTCAAATGGATAAACACACACGGACTACGAACCAAAAATGATAAATTACCCCCCCCCACGTGAAAGACAGGAGATCAGCAGCGGGAATGTTAATACATCGAAACACAGGGTCAGGCTTCTCAAAACTAAAGCAAAGGACACAAGTTTTTAAAAGGCAGTCTTCTACAAAGCAACCCTTAGCACTGTAGGTGATCTAAGACACAACCTACAACACCCGAGGGTCAGGACACGCTGTACCCAGGAGAGTAGGTATGCCCTGCCTGGAAAGGTGTGGAGATCCCCAAAATGTAGTAAAACCAGGAAAGCCCTTCCAACCCACAGAGCCCACTCCTTGCTCCCAGGCCCGAGCTGAAGCTAATGATGGAGCTGGGCTCCCTGGCACCGTCTTCTCAGAGGAGGAGGGTAGCAGGGCACCATCACAGTCCTCGCGTGCCCGCTGGAGGGCAGCAACACTGGTTGGCCAGAGACCATCAGCAGGGTCGTGCCCGGGAAAGGGCCGGCTGGAGAGCTGGCACTGTGAAGGCAGGTCATCAGGGAGCCAGGACTCACGGCCATTAGCTCAGAGCTGCTATCAGAAACATCCTGCATTCAAACAAAAACACCACTAAGTCCCTATTTCTTTCAGTCCAGAATCTTGGAAACCAGGAAAAATTTTCCCAGCAGAAAAAGACAGTCACGGGATTTGATCAAATGTTTTCCATGTTTAAACAAATATACTCTGCAATCTGAATACTGTTAAGGAACACTTGCCATTTCTTTAAAAAGCCAGACACCACACATTTCTCTACTCTGCAGTATCTAGCTAGCACAACGTACTGGAACCTCAAATTTAAATAGCAATCACACGTAACTGCTTCCTGGAGCATTTTGGAAACTACATGCTTTACTGAATCTTTACTGCAAGTAATTTTAATCCGGCTTTTAAATGAATCCACATTCATCTGTATATATATATATATATATATATATTGAATTTAATATCCAGAAATTTGGTCTCAAAAATAAAGAAAAAACAGATAAAAATAGTTTCAATAAAGACTCTACAATCAAAGCACAGGGGTTAAAAAAAAAAGGTACTTCTGATGTGGTTTAAGGGAAGGTTATGTGAGTGGAGGAATTTTCAGCAGGTGAACGGTCATTGTCCATTTAATGAGCCATGAGAAAACAGGGCTAAAACTGGAGGCAAATAAATGAACAAATAAGTTTAGTTGATGAAAGTTCCAGAGAGGGAAGTGCACTCGCTGCTGCCCATTGAAGACTCCTTTCAATGCTGTCTTTCGTGTCTGCCCTGGATGCTTCCAGCAGAGGAGCACACTTCTCCAGCGACAGCTTCACAGTACCCTAACATCTGGGCTTTTTACTCCAGAGCTCTGCTTCATTTCACTTCTCGACCTCTGAAACTGATTCCGTTCAACACGTGTTTACTAAGTGTTTCCCAGGAATCCAAGGCGAGTCCCCACCGTGCAGGACGGCAGGGGACACGTCGCGCGGGTCAGCCTTTCACCTAGCGACACGCAGTGGCCCTCTCCTCTGCCGAGCTTCCTGTCAGTGACAGGCTCACGTCTAGAGATCTCCAGTGACTAACAAACTAAATCACCATTTACTGCAGCCGGCAAGAGGCCTTGTCCTGATTTGGGTGCAAACGGAAAAATTCCTTCAATTCTGCCTCTCCTGGTCATCAACACAATGTGAAGATTTTTATCCACTGCATTTAACCTATTTAATAATGTTGCAATTACTAAATTATTCAAATACTTAATTGTTGTGGGGGCAATAATCAGTATCCGTGTGTGAAATGCTTCCAACTTCCAAGCATGGAAGCAAAGAGCTTGATGTCAACCTGGGTAAACAAAATTCTACAACAGTGAGGTGGTGGAGGATGGGCAGTGCGAAGGTGACCTTGAACTTACTGTTTGCCTACAAGCAGGGGACACACTTCATGTCTCAAGTCCACTGCAACACAACGGCTCCAAGTTCACAGTAACTTCCAGCATAGCACTTGGATATGTACAGATGAATGACAGCTCAGCCAATAAATTTTATTTTAGCTATACTTGAAGATCCTGCATACTTTCATGTAGAAATGCTCTACGTAGACAAGAAAAAAAGGCTAATCTTTCTGTCCACAGATGATCAAGAAAATACGGCAGGGTCATGAAGGGTGCCTTAAGAGTGGGACAGATACTGACTTGTGGTGTAGCACCTGAAACTGCTCCCTGAAATGCTGGCATCCCACATGGGCACTGGCTGTGCCGCTTCTGATCCGGCTTCCTGCTATCATGCCTGGGAAAACAGCAGGAGATGGCCAAGGAGGACCTGAACCCATACTTGAGACACGGAGGACGCGCTTAGCTTCTGTTTGGTCCAGCGCTGGCCACTGTGGCTATTTGGGGGAGTGAACCAGCAGATGGAAGATCTGTTTCTCCTCTCTGCGCCTTTCGAATGTGACAAAGATATCTGTAGCTTTGATACTTAAGACCTTCAGGAATCTATCGTGAATACTACTATCTTCGATTGGCTGTATCCAGAAGCAAAGAAAACATGAATTTCTTCTAATGAGAGTTCTCTCTGGCAGCCAACCAGCAATGCCGCTGCCTACTGAGAACCCTCAAAGAGCCATTTTTCATCACTCTGCTCCTTTGCTGCCTGCCCCTGGTCATTCAGCAGGTTCTAACAGCCACAGCACCAGGACACCTCTTATCTCCAAAATCAACCAGTATAAAATACTTCTGTCCTGCCTGCTGGATAACAATAATGCAACAATGAAGAAAAGAGGCTTTATTTTCTCACTTTTTTTTTTTTTAAAGATTTACTTATTTTTGTTGGAAAGGCAGATCCACAGAGAAAAGAGACAAGGAGAAAGATCCTACACCTGCTGGTTCACTCCCCAAATGGCCTCAATGGCTGGAGTTGAGCCAATCAGAAGCCAGAAGCCATGAGCAGGATGTTCCTCTGAGTCTCCCACATGGGTGCGTGGCCCCAAAGCCCTTTAGGCTGTCCTCTACCGCCTTTCCGGATGATAAACCGGGAGCCAGATGGTTAGTGGAGTAGCTGGGACACAAATGGGATCCTGGTGCTTGAAAGGGAAAGACCAACCAATTGTGCTATTACACTGGGCCCTATTTTCTCACCTTTTAAATAAACATTTGAGAAGGTAGAAATCTTACTGAGCATGCTACGGTTAACGAGGCAGCTATTGTTGATACGGAATTCACTGCTGAAAATCCCTCCAGGAAGATAGCCATTGGGTTGGCTAAGGGAGTCACTGGAATCCCCTTCTTGAAGCCTTTTCCAGTCTGTAAGCAAGGAGCTGGACTGGAAGTGGATAAGCCAGGTTTCCGCCCAGTGTCCATGTGGGATGCTGGCGCTGTAGGTAGAAGCTTGGCCACAGCACTGGCCCTTAATTTCCACTTTTTAAAACCAACCCACCCCAGTTTTACACACATTTTTGATGAACACATACTCAATGTATTTATCTCCAGATACAGGTGTATTCTGAGATGTAATTCACATTTCTGTGTTTGGAGCCAGGCAGCAGGTGGTCGAGAGCACACTCTGTTCTCACCTGGGGCACTCCCCTGTGCTTTACTAGCTTCCAGTTTTGAGAGAAACTTGTGGTATTTGGGTCTTTCCATGCTTTGTGTGTGTGTGGGGGGGGAGTGGACTCACTACTGTCAGAAACACTTCAGTGTTAACTTTCAGGCGGGCCTAGTCCCTGCGGCACACAGGCCTGTCATCAGTGGCACTACCCCATGAGGTGGTCCCATCAGAACGCCCCTTACCTCCGGTGCTGGGGGTGGAGACAGACACCTTCCCACCCTCACCTGCAAAGGCTTACAACAGAAACAGTGGCTGGGTGGCAGTGACGGGCACAGCACCACAGAAGGCTCTGTCTGCTGTCCCCGGGCCGTGAGCTGCAGGAACAGTAAGTTTTCTTCTGGTATTTGGACTGCTCAGGTTTCACCCCAAGCCAAGAAGACCCCAACCCCAAATCAAAACGCTCTCTGGGTGGGCTCCCAAATGAAGACATTACCTCAGACGGTTCTGCAGGGCTGCAGCAGTGCCCCGCGGGCGCGGTGAAGGATGGAGACATGGCACTAACACTCAAGCGTTAGGTGACCGGTGACGTCACAGATGAAGCAGCGATTAACGCAGATGAAAGCACACACACACATGGTGGACAGACAGAGCTGGGGGCGACCTGCCAAGAGGAGTTAGTGAGCTGAGTGTGCCGTGGCCGCGTCACGGGGAGCGAGGGCACACAGAAGAGCCCGCCAGTGCCACTCCTCCAACTACCACCTCACCTCGCCTCTGCCGCTTGCCTACGCTGGCCGCGAGCATCGCCAAGCGCACACTGGTGCTGTCTGTCTCACTGGGGCCTCTCCTGAGAGAGGGGCCTCTGGCTTCGTCCGGCAGGCCTGAGTGGGTGCTCTGCCACAGCCGGGAGGTGCCAGCCTGCCCCTCGCCATGCACACAGGGCTGCCTGGCGGCTGCTCTGCCTGCCAGGCCTGCAAATCTGGCTCACACAAAGTAACCTGAAGACCAGTACGTGAACAATCATCAGTGCTGACAGCTGCGACAGCATTCAGATGATCCGCGTGCAGAGGCACAAAGGTTCCAGACCGGCTACGGCTGAAAAAACTCCCCGCTGCGAATGGAGTGTGCGATGACCAGGCTTCCAGTCTCCCTTACGGAAGCGCTGTCCGCAGGCACAGGAGCAGAGAGCAGGAGGCGTGTGCCAGCTCACACAGTTAATTTCATTAGACAAGCGTGGGGACTGTTAGACACACAAGCACGCCAGTGGGGCGTGGACTCTGCCACTTACCAGATCTGTAATCTAATCTTCTTTCCTCTTAGCTCTACAGTTTTGATCTTAAAGTCCACACCTATGAATAAAGCAAACAAGTGTGAGGCAGAAACGGTGAAAATGGGCCTTGTCCTGGGAAACAGCCCCGGCCCATGCTTCCGCTCAAGCCGGGCGGACGCCCACGAGCACCTGCAGCTCTCGAGGCACTCCACGCACCTGGACAGGTCACCATGTGCTGCTGGATCCCCAGCCACCTATCCAGCATTCCTGCCACTCACAAGGTCACGTACTGTCGCCACAGTTCAGTTAGAAATCCATTTTTAAAAATCACATTTACTAATCACAATGACAAATAAATGGCTTTCAAAAGATATTACATTGGAGACAGTGCTTATTGCAGGATATAGGAAACTTAGCTTGATTTCAAACCACCTTAGCCTGAACTTGGAAGTTATTTTATCAAAATTTTCTATGCTCACAAAACACTTTAGTGAAGATAAAAATGACTTAGTATATAATCAACAGTGGGGGGGAGAGCAATTATTTTTTAAAAATTAACTCATACAAATCAACATGGGCAATTTTCACTTTTACATGTTTTAGCATTGCCAAGCAAACCATCACCCATCAGCTCTCCTCCTCCATGCAGCCTGTGACGCTCCAGACAGATCTCGAAACCAAATTTTAATTTGTATGTGTTACCTTTGATAGAAAGCTTAAATATTTCAAGGTGATTTTTAAATACAATTCTCACAACTAAGCAAAATGAAAGACACACTGGCGGAGTGTTCTGACTGCAGCCATGGGCCCACCGCGTGAGGACCCAGGTCAGGCTGGCAGGCAGGCTGCACTACGGGCAAGTGTGTAGCAGCCACGCCGAGCCACAGGGAACCTGTCTGTGCCATGGCTCTCCACTGGGGCACACCAAGGCGGCACCAGCCTGGAGAAGAGAAAGACATGTGACTGCTTTTTATTATTAGTAACGCAGTGTGGAGAGCAAGGCCATGGTCACTGCCCGCGGCGGGGGTCAGGGAGGTGGGGGGCAGCCTCCTGCCATAAGGAAACCGCACAGACTGACAGTGTCACAGGAAAGAAGCCAGAGAAGGTGCCGCTACTTCTGAATTCCTGTCCCTCCCAGCAACCAGAGGCAGGGCTGAGCTAGGGTCAGCTCTCTCAATTTCACTTTCATTTCTGGAAGGGATTTGCTTCTCAAAGTCAAATGACACAGCCATGAAAGGGGAAGCCTGTGGCGCATGACTAAGACCCTGGAGCTTCTCAAGGGCCCACCCCCGAGGAAATGGCCGAGCAGAGCAGCCGTGTAAGAGGCACAAGCAGCTATGACTTGACCAGGCACAGCTTAAGGACCACACACTGCCCTCTTGGAATGGCCACCCGAGGGTTTCTTCCCAACACCGTTACTGCCCTCGGGGTGCATTTATATAAACAATTGTCTGTATGTATGAAAGAAGGCCTTAGTGGTGGAGGTATGGATGGTGTTGTTTTATTAAGTTATGATGTTGGGGGGTGTAAGGGAGTTTTAGGGTGATCTGGGGAGGATTTTGAAATTTGTTGATGAGGGGGTACATGGTGGAATGGGGGATTGTGGGAGGGGGGGGGGGGGGGGTGATGTATAGGATGGAAGGAGTTTTAGGGGTGGAGGGTATGATGTGGGAGAGGGGGATATGTAGGTATTAGAGGGGAATTAGGATGTGGGGAAAAAATATTTATGTAGTGGGGATGAAGATTTGAGTTGGGTGTTTTATTTTTGTGTGAGTATATGGTTGATATGTAGTGTTGGGTAATTGTATATTTGGGTTTTTTTGATATATTATGTATTTGATGTAATATTTGTATAATAATAAGAAGAATTTAATATTATGTGAAATAAATGTAGTATAACATTTGTATAATCAAAAATTGGCTAAATCTAAAATCCAACAAAGACAACAGAACAGTCCCTAAGTGACATCCTGGGCTTTAACTAACAGCCACCAAGTAGCCCATGATGACTGGGAGCTTAACCCACTTTATGGTCTTAGAACCTTGGATTTGCATCGATATATATAATGAACACTTCCAAAATCTTCTCATACCACAAATAAAAACAATTGCTAATAGTGTCTGTTATTAGTGTCAACACCACGGAGATAATGGTAATACTTCCCAAAAGCAATCAAGCCACTGAGAGCCTCAGGTGTGGGAGGATTAAACAGCATTTCACGGCCTATGACCCGGTATGGGGCACCCACGGTCCTGCTGACCACCAGCCACCATCAGAGAAGCCAGCAGCCATCCTCACCAGGCTCAGTCACCACACTGTCCCAAACCAACACACCACAGCTCACCCTTCTCCGAGGACACCTGCCCCTGCCCTCTGCCTTTCTCTGTGCTCCGAGCTCTAGGACTCAACTCCTCTGACCCTCGTCACTCTGTCTCTTCTTGGCTGCACTCCCTCAGGGACTCTGTGCCTCCGAGAAAGTGTGCATCTCCAACTCCTGGAAAGCTGCAACATGGCTGCCACTCAATAGCCACTCAGAAGAATCGATGACTGAAAGCTGCCCGCTTGTAAGGAGAACTCCTATTTTTGGAGGAAATGTGGTCAAAACAGGACTGACCCATTGAAAAAAGACAAACACCTTTGAGCAGACAGGCCAAGCACATGTGTAATGGGAGCAGTGAATGCAGAAAGACACACACACACGGGGGTGGGGGGTAACTTTTTGTGGCATAGTAGAAAATGCTATCACCTGCAGCACTGGCATTCCATATGGGCACTAGTTTATGTTGAGGCTGCTGCACTTCTGATCCAGCTCCCTGCTTACGGCCTCAGAAAAACAGTCGAAGACAGCTCAAATGCTTAGGGCACTGCCTCCCGCGTGGGAGGTCTTTAAGAAGGTCCTGGTTTCTGCTTACCTGTTGTGGCCACCTGGGTAACAAAGCAGCAAAGATCTGTCAAGTAAATTTTTTTTAAAAAAGGAAAAAAAAGACAGGTATGAAACGGAGCGCTGCCTTTGTCCTGCAATTCCTTAAGGAATACGAGGTGTGTGTGTGTGTGTGTGTGTCCTATTTAATTTGGAAGGTGGAGTTTCACTGAGACATGCAGAGATAGAGAGCTTGCATCCACTAGTTCACTCCCTAAACAGCGACAATGCTCAGGGGCAGGCACTCCCTCCTGGTCTGGTGAGCAGGAAGCTGTATGGAAGCAGAGCAGAGACTCAAACCAAGGCTCCCATGGGATGCTGGTGATGTGCCTGTGCCCTCTCCCTACACCGCCCTGATGGTTACTACAACAGCACATGATTCTGCAGTCATTCATTCAGGAGTTGACTGGAGTCAGTGTTCCGGCGCCTGCAATGCTGGCACCCCACACGGACACTGGTGAGTCCCCGCTGCTCCACATCTGATCCAGCTTCCTGCTAACGCGCCTGGGGAAACAGTGGAAGATGGCCCTGCACCCACAGGACACTGGGGGAGAATCCTGGCCGTGGACTGGTCCAGCTCCAGCCAAAGCAACTATCTGAGAAGTGAACCAGCAGATGGAAGACTGCCCTCTCTCTAAACTGTGCCTTACATAATACACAAACAAACTTAAAGGGGGAGGGTGGGAAGCTAATCTCTCTTCAAGGAATGCTATGGCCTGGGTGGCACCCAAGGGTTCCCGGTGAAATTTAACCCCACTGTGAGGCATTAAGAAGGTGGAAATTCCATTCAACTGTGTTGTTAAGAAGTGGGGCTTCTGGGAGGTGAGCAGGACTAGACAGGTCATCAGGTGGGGCCTCCGGAACTGGCTGTCCAGGAAGCAGCACAGAGAGCAGAGGACACACGGACACACACACACTCGCCATGTGACGCCCACACCACCTCAGCACTCCGCCAGCAAGAAGGCTGTCCCCAAAACAGGCCCTTGGCCTTCCACCAGAACTGCGGCCAAGACACACTTCTCTTTGTTAAGTATCCAGTCTCAAATATTTAGCGCAGCTTATCTTTCCTTATCCAGGCTAGTTTTTGTTACTTTAAAAATCCCAGAGTGTCCTAGGGCACAGAGGTTTACCGGAGCCCCAGTTTTGGGTGGCCCCCTCCACTTGGAGCTGGTGGAGGGAAGAGGACAAGATGAGCCAGGAAGCAGAGGAGGACAGTGAGAGAACTGCCTACAGAGGGGACAAAGGAAGACCTCCCAGTAGGCCCCCACCCCAGGAGCCATGATTAGAGTGGGTCGCCCAACCCACACGAAGGTACTAGCCAATGACCTAAGACTTTGGGGTTGTCTGTAAGAACCTGCGGGAACAACGTACTTTAACAAGTATTTCATGGAGCTTTTCTGAAGGCACACAGGTTACAGGGCCACATCCCTCACATGCATGAGCTAAGCCTCCTGAGTCACTGTAACTTGCTTTTTTTGTGGTTTAAAGACTTAGTATTATTTGAAAGGCACAGGGAAGGAGAGACAGAGAAGAGAGGAAGAAAGAGATTGAAATCTTCCAACCACTGGGTCACTCCCAAATGGCCACAGCAGCAGAAGCTGGGCCAGTCGGAAGCCCGCATCCAGGAGCTTCATCCCGGCCTCGCACAGAGTGCAGGGGTCTGAGTGCTGGGGCCATCCTCCAGTGCTTTCCCAGGCCATTAGCAGGGATGGATCAGAAGTGGAGCAGTCAGGACTCAAACTGGCACCCATATGGGATGGCAGTGCCACAGGTGGAAGATTAGCTTGCTATACCACAGTGCCAGCCCTCATGACTGACTCTTGATCTTAATTTCTTCTAGCAATCATCAGAGAACATAATGTGTAAAAATGCTATCTTATACCCAAAGCACTGGGCCCTGCAGCAGCCCAGCAACATGGGCCCTGTTGCATCAGAGCGCAGAGAAGCTACAGTGACACCTGTACTAGCCGAGTAGCAACACCCAGAGCCAAGTTTCTACCACGGCCTACAACGCAATCTGCTGCAATGTAGTCAGCTGGGTGAGGGAGATGAATGCAGCCCACAATGAAGCCACTGGAGACAAGTCAATCCACATACCTTGCCGCCCTTTTTTAAGAATTTATTTTATTGCAAAGTCAGATATACAGAGAGAAGGAGA